ATTCCAGCCAGAGTTACTTGACTTGAAGCTTAAGTTTAGCCAAATCGAAATAAATCGAAATTTTTGCTTAAATCGATAAAGAATATTTCCGTGTCCCTGGGGGAAGTCCATATTGCGATAATATATCACGTGATGGTCAGTGCACGATTTTCAATACCATGTACATTTATATGCAAACGCTTACAAAGTCGGACTTTCATCTCCTTATTAAGTTCCCACCTTGTCTACGTAATATATAAAGAGTGTATATTTTCCGCTTTCTGACCGTAGCAAACAACTGTTTTTCTTCTTGGCCTTCATAAACTATTGTAAGGTTTAGAAAACTTTGGTGCTTTAAAAAAGAGTGAACATGTGAGTCGTAAAGTACAGAAATAAACTTACTGAATTCTGTTTAAAATACTTTCGAATGTTAAAGTCTCGAGCACGATTACTTAATTCTATATCTTGACAGTGCAAAATCTCTGATTTTAGAGGGTTTATTATATAATAAATAGGATTTTGTAAATCTTAATATTTATTAAGTATGCTGTTGTTAATAAAGCGATCGTTTATCGATTTTTCTTTTGGTTTTTTTTTTCTTTTGCTCAATATTTTTCATGCAATACTTTGAACTTAATCGTTCGAATAATTTTTTTGATCGTTTCTAATACAACAGTTCCATATTAAGGGAAGATTTTCCGATCTATTGAAAGTCTCATCATGACGTCGGGTACAAATGAGAATGATTTTTCAAATAGGAACCCAACTTCTTTTTTAAATGATTCAACACATTCTTCAGATTTATCTTCAACAACTTCTTCTCAAGATTTTGTTCTTATCAGTCCACCGAGAAATGTTAATGATTCTTACGCAACCGACCAATCTAGTAATATTAGCATTCAAGGTCATTCTTTTGACGATGATGATGCTGAAGATCTAGGTATATCTTTAATTCCCAATTACCTTTAAATTTTATTCTCCTCTTTATTTTCTATATTATTTCAGTTTTCCCAATTTTACATTTCTCCAAAAATGAAGGAGAAGATTCTGAGGCTTCTTCGGATTCTTTTGATGCTATTGATGATTCTCATCAATTAAGGGACGATGACGATATTCCTATTCAACCTTATTCAAAACTTAGAAATTACAAGCATTATCAATTCAGTTTTCCTGTCACGTTTCGTGTCATGTATATCGGCTCGGATCCTTCTGGCGAGTGTAAAAAGAAAACTTTCTCAAAATTTTGTAATAGTTTATCCCAAATCTTTTGGGAAGATGCGGAAAATACAAATGCTACTGGTGACATTAGACTTGAAAAAAGATCTATCGTTTTTCCTGTTCGTAATAGCCCTCTTCAAGTTGAATATTGTGATGATTCTTGTGTTGCTCTTTGTGAGGCTGATTTCACAAATGGCTCTCATGAAAAAGCTTTCGAATATTTAAGAAGACAATTCGAAATTACTGATCATGACTCTAATTTGGTCGATTTATGTGTTGTCTTTTTACCTTTTGATTATAATAGTTTTCCTCCTGATTTATTACCTACTATGAAAAAATTACAAGAAAGAGTTACTTTATTTCCTGTGATTTCTTCAAATGTTCAAAGATATTCTAAACTTGAACGTGAACAAAAAAGACGTATTATTGTAAAAAAATTAGAAGAAAATGGTATTGATATTTTTATGTGGAAATCTGATCAAATTCTTGAAGATTCTGACATCATGGGTGATTCTAATTCTCGTCACGAAACTGTTTATACAAAAAAAATCTTAACTGTGGATGAATTTATCAAATTCGATAGTGCACAAGTTTATGAAGACCTTCAACTATTTCGTGCTCGTGCCATAGATCTTAGAAATGATCGTTTACGTTATGAACGTGCAAAGCGGCGTACTCAACAATGTGACAAAATTGCTAGTATATTAAGAGATTTTATTGTCATGTGCATGATTCTCTATACCGTCTACTTGTTTGTTTCTAGTGTTTGGCATTATGCTGAATGGTCGGTTATTCCATCAGAATTTGCCCAATCACTTCAGGCTATATCACGCGCTTCTTTAAAGACTCCTAATGGCCCTCATTGGATTGACATAGGAAATGGTGACGTTGATACCCAAATAGAAGTTGTACAAGAATCTTCGAATCATTATATTTTTGATGTAGTGAATAAGAAGAATTTCTATGATCATGCTGAAAAAGATGTTTTTGAAGTTGTTGTTACACACAACCCACCCCAGGTTTTGGGTCGTCATTCGGTTTTAGATTTAGGTAATGGTAGATATTCTTTTGATATTGATACTTCTAATGCAAAAGGTGATGTTATTATCGAGATAAGAAAGAATGGGCAAGTGGTTAAAGTATTCCCTTGGTATCCTAAGAAAAAGGATAAAGCTGGTGAGAAGTCAAAAGACACTACTATTAGCAAAAAGTCTGAGAATATAAGTTTCTTGGATTCATTTAATAATGCCGCACTGGACATAAGCCTGAAAATCAATAATGCCTTCGAAAATGCTCTATATTGGTCTTATTCATCAGCCGTATATATTGAAGATAAAGCTATTATTGTATTACGCCATATTGGCGAACAGGCAACGATAGCCGCTATTGTTGTATGGGAATCAATAAAATATTGGATTCCTTTCGTTTGGGAAAAATTATTGATTTTTTCTAATGATTACGTGGCGAGGCTTAGGTATGCCGCAAAGAGAATCAAGAAAGGTGCTTTCCGGATGGGAAAATACATGAAAGATTATCTCGACCTCGCTGAAGATGACCGTTAATTTACCTTGCTGAAGACAATGATTAATGATTGTAGTCGATTAAAAATCTATAAGCTTTGCCAAGTCAATAATGTTGATATGGTTAAGCCGGCTATTATTTTGCAATAATATTCCAAGTTTTGAACTATAAACTACAATCCGGAAAGTCCCGCTGACCATGCATGTATTTTATTTTATTATCTACATTCCGAAAATTCACAATTATTTTTAGAGTAAGCGGGGTCATGTGCACGAATTTTATTGCTAATATATTATACATAAAATTGTTTATTCTAAGTGAAAGTGATAATTATATAATATATATATATCTGCATAGTACATATCCTGAAGAACCTGTATTAGATACAGTATTATTTTTGCATAATAAAGAAGATAAAACGTCGTTGCATAATGTTCCCGAAAAAAAATGGTAAATGTAATTGTATAACGTTCACAAAGTAGAATTAAGAACAAGGGGTTCGATGCTGTAGTGCTTTACGTGAAAGTTAATACTTCGAAAAAAGATTTTCGCAAGTCTATGTACCCATGTGACTTTATTGTTAGATCAACCATGAAATTTTGTTTACGCGTACCGGCCCAAAAAAGTCAAAAGATAAATAATTTTATCTTTTAAATTACCGCGTTTTAAAAACATCGTTTATTTTTCAAAAACTTGCAAACACTAAAAAAATTTCCATAAACGATTTTACTACATAATTCGCTAATTTTTAATTTTAATTTAAATGCTAACCTTAACATAAACGAACTATAAAGAATTTTTTGGTTATCTTAAATTATTTCGATATTTTTTTTTTATAGAAAATGGCTTGGTAACGACTAAAAATGGTTTTATTATGATATAAATTATTTTTTGATTAAAATATACCAGGCATCCTATAACTCTTTGACAATCCTCTAGACCAGCAATTCCAAATATACAGTACGAGACAGCTAAAGATATCAGCTTTTTATTTTACTATCAAGCGCCCAAATTATAATACTTTCTTAAACAATATTGCAGCTGAGGTCTTTACAAATCAAAATATACCAAAAATATAATAAAGAAACTTTTCTTGTAAAGTTATATAACTTTGAAAATGACCAATTAATTTTAATAATTTTTTAAGTAATTTGACAAATTATAAATTTTTAGTCAAATTCGGACAAATTTGCCCCCAATACAGTTTAAGGGTAGGGTGTCCCTAGATCATTTTTAATAGTAATCATGTGGTATTCATATGAAATCATGTGATTGACCA